GCCAGTGGTTGATCAGCATCCAAAGTCGTCTGCCTAGGCGGCCCTTTTTTTCTGCCGCTCACAAATAGATTAGTTTCACATGGTCATGGAGTTAGTAGTTTTAGGGCGCCATATTGCACGTAGAGGGCCGCTAGCGTGCTGGCCGCTGCAGAAGTTAGGAAAAATTAATAATAATGTCGAATCGATTGATTTCAGAGTGGGATTTCAGTACGGCTACGGCTCGAACACCACCATAAGAGAGAGACCCCAGCCAGACAGCACCACCTAGACGGCTGGTCGTCAGCGTTGGTTCTTTTGGCTTTTGAGCATTGTCTTGGATTTCGTAAAGTTTTGCAGCCTAGCCGACCCCGGGGCGTCTGCTTGGGTATCTTTTACTCCGTCGCTCGTTTGGGTGTGCGTGGAACAGTAACTTAATAAGAGGAAAGAGATGGCTGGGAGTTCAGGGAGAAGTGGGAATGCCCTATACTTTGGATTTTATGGGATTTCTTTGAGGAATGAAGATTGATGATAGATGAATATAAGTATAAAGAACTTAAAATATGATAAGTGGGCTTATATAATTTACAAATAAAGAGTTCAGTACCCATAAATATTTTAATTTTATATAAACCCTTTGTTTATTACAGAAAATTCCTAGAAGAATAAAATAAAAAAAATTGTAGTGACGGTTTTCTTGGTTCCTCCATCATTAACATTCAATATAAACGTTATACGAAAATCAGTCCAAGAGTTAGTTGTTTACCTTTATTAACTTAAACTTAAGAGTTTTCACCCTTTGTCTCTACACAAACACACTCCAACCCAATATGTAATATACCCTAACCGCACTGCAGGACCATCAAAAGTGAAATATTTTTTGTGCGCTTACCCAGCCTCGAGCAGGTTGATCCTGCTCTCATAGTCATAGACATAGTCACAGTCTCGGTTGCAGTCATCGTCGTCGTCTGGCGGAAAAAATGTTATAGCGGCTGCATTTTTCATGACCAGCAAACGCATCGAGCAACGAGCAATTTCATGTATTTCAAGTATTTTGACTACGCTTTGTTGTTTTTTATACCCGGTACTCGAAGAGTTAATAGGGTGTATTGTATTTGTGCACGAAGTGAATGTATGTAACACCCAGAAGGAAACGTTTCCGACCCCATAAAGTATATATATTCTTGATCAGCATCAATAGCCGAGTCGATTGAGCCATGTCTGTCTGTCCGCCCGTCTGTCCGTCCGTCTTGTTGAGCGCCTGGATCTCAGAGACCATAAAAGCTAGAGCCACCAAATTTTGCATCCAGACTTCTGTATGCTCACACTGTTACAAGTGTATTTATTTTAGTGTATTTCATTAAGTAAATGAGCCACGCCCCTTCCGCCCCCGCAAAAGGCGAAAACCTCCCAAATCTACAATTTTGAAGAAAAAAAAAAACTGAAAACGCCATTCCGTAGGGAATGGCCATATCTATTAGATCACCAAATTGGGATTCGATTGGATCATTGGATTGGATCATTATTATAGCCAGAATGAAGAAATTAATTTGCAGTGGCCAAACCCACCCTGTCCCGCAGCTTTTGTTGTTCTTTTCACATTCTCTCATTCACACTCTGCTTCTGCTTCACTCGGCCCCTGCCCTTGCTGCCCCCTGCCGATGACTCTTCCGACTTTTAACCCACCCCGTCCCGCAGCCTATATTTGTTTTTTTTTTTGTGTGCGGTCGCTGCCTCTGCCTCTGCCTCGAGTCTGCAGTGTGTGGGTCTAGGGAAGGGCGGTGAGCTAACGGAGCGTGTTGGTGTGAGAAGTGTTGTAGATGTAGATGACAGATGAAGAAAATATTTAAAATTTGACAAAACACCGCTAAGGTGCATCTGTAGTACTGAGTGCCGGGTATAAAAGTTGTGACGCGTAAGAAGCGTCTCACACGTCCCTTCTCGTTTTAATTTAATTTTGTTTTTGTGGGCGCATTGAACCTACGTGTTTACAATTCTATTGGCAATTGGCTGGGATTGGATTGGACTCCGATCCTGGGCAGTTGCCTCACCGCTGCGTTAACATGACTTGGCTCTAATGAAATACGACAACTGACTCGTGCTGGGCTGTGCTCTCCTCTGTGGATTTGGCTTGGGTAACTCCCTTTGAATTTTATAGGCGTGGGATTGCTTTGGGCTACACAAACAATACGGAAAGAGGAAAAACGGAATGCCAAGACGCGAAAGGAATTTAAGCAAAGTGGAGCAAGGGGGGATACCCACTACATTCGAGTAAGTATGTCCACGGTTCGACTATTTTTACCCTCCCAAAAAACGGTTAAATCAAAGACTGAAGCGCGTGCCTGACGTGTTGACTGCCTTACTTCCGCTTCTTTGAACCCGAAACACAGTTGTCCCCACACCAGAACATTCCCTCTCGAGTACGTTTCCCCCATTTGGCTAGTTAATATTCATGTTGTCTACTGATAGTCTCCACGTGTTTGAGTCACCCGAGTGCTGGCAGCGGTTGACTAGTTTCCTCGCCTCACAAAGAGTTCAAAGAACGAACCGAACATAGTCGGAGCCTTAACTACGACTTGAAAGACCAGAACGTATGGGTAAATGACTCATCATATAATTGCTGTTTAAAAATTGGTTCAAGCTTTAATTGTATGTCCATAAAAATATTTCGTTGTGGGTATATTTTCTACCCATTAAATTATTTTTTTGGGTTTTTTTTCCACCCAGTAAAATAATTAAAAATTTTTTGGGGAGATATTTTTTTTCATCAACCAATACTGTCTCTGATCCTGATTCTCCTACGCTGCCAAATAATTACTGCATTTGTATTCAATTCATGGTTAATTGATATGATTTAGTCATTTTATATGACTAGTCATTTACCCATACGTTCTGATCTATCAAGTATTAAATTCCTGGTCAATTGCTGTCTTACACCTCTCTTCAAATCAATCAATTAATCGCTTGTTGGAACAAGAACTGAACCCCTTTTTATCCCCGGTACTCGAAGGGTTATAAATAGGATATATTGTATTTGTGGTCGAAAGTGGATGATTGTAACTCACAGAAGAAAGACAGAAAAAAATGAAAAATATAAAATTCTAAAAAATCATAAGGTTACTGCGTGTGGTATACTAACTGAGTCCGGGTATAAAAGTTGTGACGCGTACGAAGCGTCTCACGACCCTCCTCGTTTTTTTGTAGCTAATTAAATATTCCTTACAGCTAAAGCACGATTGGTTTATGTTTAATGCTAATTTGTTGCCATGTACAATAGCTGAAATTCTAAGCCACAAAATACAAAATAAAGACACGAGTCCTGTCCTGCAGTCAATGACAGCAATTTGATGTGCGCTCCGGTCTGTCGGCTACTGGCTGAGAAAGTCGTGATTTATTGCAATATTTAGCACAGTGCAATACATTTCTTATATAATTCCCAAATAAATGCAAATAAAATACAAAACATAAATAAATAAGTAAATTCAAATCGTGAAACAATTATTATTTATGTATTTTTAAAATTTACTTCACACTTTCCATTCTTTAATAAATTAAATATTATTCTTAAAAGAAAGGGCCTACTAATTATTCAAATGATTTGAAACATCATCAGAACATTTCTCTTTCAAAAAGAGTTGGCTTGGTTCTTTGAGGGAAAATCGTGTCGGATTATCATGTAGTGTTATAGACTCTAATTTATTTTTAACACAAAAGGGTTTTTTGTAGAGTTTGAGTAGCTCGAGTACATAAAATTACGAGTACATAAATACGTACATACATAAATACATATGTATATACATATATTCCACTCGTGATGCAAATTTTCCATACTTCCAGTCTGCATTCATTCTTCTTTGCACACTGAAACCACAATCCACTGGCAATTAGCTAATTCATTTTGTTTATATTCAACCCAAAAACCACAACAAAAGTCACAGAAATCTGTTTTTCATTGGCCAAGGCGGGCTGCTTAGCCCACCTTTTTTGTGTTGACCACAAAACAACGAAAGGCAAAATAAAGCAACAAGACAGAGGAGAAAAATATTTTAAATAGGTTTTTAAACGTGGCCAACAGCAACCAATCAACGAGCAGCTAAAACCCACACAGACACGACACCCGATTAAGCGCGGAGCAAATAAATTAACAGAGTTGCCAAAACATCGCAATGATTGATCAAGCGCGGACTAAGGATGGTAGGAATTATATAAAATATTCACAGATAATATCGGAATGTGTTCGCTTAAGTGAACAATGTTTGGATTGCCTTATTACTTCTTTATTGATTTATGGCTAATATGCATTGATTTACAGCTTGCGAGCCGGCTAGATGTCGTATTTGTGTGGTTTTAAGTGGGCAACTAGCTCTGTGTATGTGTTTTTACCTGCTGTTTAGATTTGTGTGCCTGTTTCTGCTTTTGTGAGTGTTAATAGCTCTCGTTTGTATGCAGAAAGAGGCGGCTACAAAATGATCGCTTTACGTTTGGTATTGGTCGCTGAAGCTGTATGTGTGCGGCAGTTGCTGTGTATTATATGTACATGTGATGGTATGTCTGTGAGTAGTGAGATTGCTCAGTTGGTACACTGCAAAAAAAAGTGGAGAAAGTTTGAAATATTAATTTTAAACAATTAATTCAAAATAATGATTAAGTAAATGCGAATATCGAATATTTTTGTACATCACCTAAATAACGTTTTATTTATAAATTATATGAATCAATATTTACAGAACTGGATGGCATAATAGGAAAACACATAGCTGGAACGATTTTATTAAAATTATAGATTCCACTCAATGAGCAACTTTTAATCTCCCAGCATGCCAAATAAAAATCCTTCCATGTGTAAGGTTTACCAATTTCTTTCTATTTGTATTACTACTCCTTCCACTTCTTTTCTCTAAGTGCACGATCCTCCACCGTATTGGCTAAAAGACCGGCTTGTGGTCTTGGCCGTGTGCTGCAAACTGAACGAAAGCTGCCTTACCTGTTCCGAAATCAAGTTTGTTGCTTCTGTGTCGCTCCGCTGATCCGCACAGAAAGGTGCACGCGGGCATTCAACACGGTTGTGGCCACACAGCACACAAAGTTCGAGAGCGAGTGAGTACCGGGTTCTAGAGTGTTTTTATTTCGACAATTTGAAACGGATTTAACATAATCCAGTAGTACGGCAGAAACCAATTGTCGAAGTCATAAAGCCGTCGGCGGGTCCTTTTTTGTGGAACGGAACGCGGGAGAAGTGGAAGTCAAACAGAAGTAGAAATCGGTGTTGTCGGGCCGCGAACTTTCGATCTATAGCCACTTCGGGATGGAATAGTAAATACCTAATGAGTGACGATGTTGTGCGTCATTTGGCCAATTTTATTTGCTAATTTCGCTACAAAGTTCTGAAAGAAAATCCCAAAAATATTGATCTAATCAATGTTCTGAATATGCAATGATTCTTTTCATGAATAAAAGTGTCTTGAGAATAAAAGCAAAATACCGAGTATTGTGCAAAAGCAACAACCCCTTTTTTCGGATCTAATCTACATAGTAAATAGTTAAAATTAAGAATCAAATACCAAACAAATACAAATTTATACAAGTGCCAAACATTGTGAAGTAAATCATGAAATAAGAATTTAATATGCCAGATTCCAGGAGCTCTATCACCAAATGGATATCGCAAATTGAATCTTTCAAGTAAAGAAGTAAGCAGAGATTGAGGTCTACTCCCAGACGCACTTAATTTACCAATTTCATTATTAACATTTTACGGAAATCAAAGTCAACAAAATACTCAAGAAGCAACCAGCAACCAACTCAAACGGAGGTACCCCCAAAAACTGCATATTCAAACTCAGACACAGCCACAGAGATATATCAGCAGAGTTCTTCATTTCATTAAATTACTTGGTGGTCCCTATTCAACAAATTCAAGCCCCAACTCGATGACACTCCAAACGCCAACTTAAAGAAATTTGGTTTGTTGCCTTGTCTCTGCCCCCTTCCCCTCGCCATGATAAGTTCACTTGACAATGAGTTGCAACAAAAAGCAACCTCAAGAGAGGCCAAGCCAAGATGCTGTCCCCAGTAGACGGTAGTAAATACTCAAGTAGAAAATTTGAAATTCATTTAACAAAACTAATTTCAATTGTTGCACTGTAGAATCCGTAAGAAGATATTTTAAGATATTTCTGGGCGCCAGCCCAAGTGGCCAGGAAAAATGCTGTATTTGTTTTGAATTTGGAAAGAAAGTGATAGTCGGTAGTGCATGCAGGAGGCGCCCGATGTAATGATTAGTTAGTGAACTGGAAAAGGAAAAATGGAAAAATTGGGTGACCAACCCTCCACAACCTTTATGTTCCGTTAAATACCAAAATAGTTCAAGATTTATTCGAATAGTAGTATTAGTAGTATTCTTTTCAGTATTTTTAGAATACTGATGCCAGAAATGCTCTGGCAATTGGGCACGCAACCCACCAAAAGGATTTTTATTTGTTTTTTGTCATTTTTATAGGGTAGGTTGACCAATTTTAGATCAGCCGTTTCTCCATAGATTTAAATCAGCAATAAACGAAGAAATGCATCGATATTTTAAAGTAAGAGAACCCATGCCACCATTATAACCGTTACTCGAAGAGTAAATAGGTATATTGTCTTTGTGGGGAATAATGGTTGTATGTAACGCACAGAAACCCCATAAAGTATATATATTCTTTATCAGCACCAATAGCCGAGTCGATTGAGCCATGTCTATCTTTCCGTCCGTCCGGACATCCGCCCATCCGTCCGTCCGTCTTTCCGCCCTTGCAAGCGCCTGGATCTCAGAGACTATAAAAGCTATAGTCAACCTACCCTATAAAAATGAAAAAAAAAACAAAAAAAAGGCCTATTGGTGGGTTGCGTGCCCAACTGCCAGAGCGATTCTCAGATCTGTATTCTAAAAATACTGAAAAGAATACTACAATTCGAATAAATCCTGAACTATGTTGTTATTACACTGTTACAAGTGTATTTAAAAATGAGCACCGCCCCCGCAATGGGGCGAAAACCTCCCCAAAGCTACAATTTTGAAGATAAAAGAAAACGCCATTCCGTAGGGAAGGACTATATCTACCAGATCACCGAATTGGGGTAATTTTCAGTTGCTAAACCATTTCCCGTTCGCACATTCTCTCATCCACACTCTGCTTCGTGTTGTGAGCGGCCTCTGCCTCTGCAGTACGTCCGCAGACTGTGTCGTTAGGGGAGGGGGCGATCTAAATGAGCGTGTTGGAGTGAGAAGTGATGTAGATGTAAATGTTGATAAAAGATGAAGAAAAAATGTAAAATTTTAAATTTTAAATTTGAAAAAAAAAAACCGTTAGGGTACAGATGTTCTAGTGAGTACCGGGTATAAAAGTTGTGATGCGTAAGAAGCGTCTCACACGTCCCTTCTCGTTTTTCTTTCGAGTTTTCCTGAATTTTTAATGTACAAATTTTGATAAAAATACCGCATAAAAAGCATAATTTTTGCATTGCAAACTAATTTATTGGGTAGCTGCATCAATTTTCTTTTCAGAACGGCAATTTTCTTTACATCCATATCTAAGATGCTTAAGTTATGAGAAAAAAAGAAGAGATACCTCCAAAAAAAGCATTAATGTAAAATAGCAATTTATTTGTAAAAGAAAATGTTCTGCCATAGAAAAACACCATAGTTCAATAAAAAACTGTATTGCCCCAAATCTTTCATAAAGTCGGTTAGGTTCCATGAGAAAAAAAAAATCGATAATGTCGAGTGGTGTTATATAAAAATGAATCAAAACAATTATTACAACTTTCATTTCATGCTTATTTCATGTTAGTAAGATGTTTTACAATAAATTCAATTTCCATTAAAACCAGTATGTCAAAAAATCATGTAAAAGAACCTCCAAATTTTATAACAATTCTGGATTAAAACACAACTAGATTTGAAATTTTATTAAAATGCATCATCAAAAAACAATAAAATAAATTTTAAGAGTGTGTGAAACTGTACAATAACTAAGGTAATTTCTTAAGATAGAAAGATTAGAAGACAATTGTTAAATGAACCTGAAGATTTCCAAAAATACAAGAACCTCTATTCCCCATATCTTTCCTTGTCTCTCTGTAGCCTCCAGTCATAATGCCAATTTGATTGATCATTATTAAGGACTTAACGAGTTTCGAATATGTTTAGTATTTGTGTTGTAAGACATTTCATTAAAACCAAGTCCAGCAGTGGCCGCAGTCAAATCAAATGTAATAAATCATTTTTTCAAAACTTTCCCAAAGAAATAATGTCTTATGCAATCAAATGCTCAAACAAAAAGCGCAACTCATTGTAGAAGAGGGAAGAGGAGAGTCTGGGGAGTTGTTCAAATAAAGAGTCGATAACAATGCAAATCAGTTCTTTTGGATTGAGGCTCGCCTTCAAAACAATTCAAACAATATTTTAACTATTTTCTGAGGTGTAGCTGTGTGCTCTAGGCTTAAAAAGGTAGAAAAGACCAACCTCAGCAACAATTGTTTTTTCATTTCATTAGCAAATCATGCGAACAAAAATCTTGTCTGGAGATTTTTATTGAGATATACATACATACATATTGATTGATATTTGTTATTATTGTTTATTAATAACCGTAACAATCTGTGACTAAGTTAAACAATTTGCTCTGTCATTTTTTGTATTTTAGAATTTTCGGTTTAAATATTTGCGAAAGTGCGACGACGGCACCACGATATGTATGCGGATAATAAACTAGGCCTAGACAAGGTGACGGCTGCCAAGGCGCCCGCCCTGCAGCAACAACAGCAGCTACAACCACAGCATATGCATCATCATGTGTTGCAGTTACAACAGCAACAGCAACAGCAACTACAACAGCAACATCAACACTTGCATACGCATGAAATTCTTACGCATCATAATTTCCAGCCACACGACACAATATCAACATTGTCACAGCAACAGCAGCAACATATGCAGCAGCAACACCAGCAGACTGCACAGCAACAGCAACAACAACAACAGTCAGCCGGCATGTTTACAAGGTAAGTTCTTAGCGCCAACATTTTAAACCTCGCAAGCCCTGCCCGACACGCATCAGCTAGTGCCTGCCCGAAACATGCTAACTTTTCATTTCAATTTGTTTCGCACGCTTCGATATTTGTCAATACGGATTTGAAATGCGAAGCCAAGTTCGCAACTAAAACAGACCTGGCCGGGAGTTGTGCCGAAAAGTACTCCTTTCGGTTTCCTCTTCATCGGATTTCTTTGCCGATTTTCACTTTTTTTTGTTGCTTTCGGTTAGTGTTCTCTTCTGCTGCTGCTGAGGATGCTCAGCTGCCGGTTTTAATGGCCTCTTGTATTGGCAACTTGTAGTTCGCATTTATCTGGCCTTCGTAATCTTCTCAGCCAGCTTCAATCCTGTCTGCGTACCCGTACAGCGCCAACAAAAAACGCGCAAAATTCACTGTGAGCTGTGGGCTTTAGCTGAGACTGGAGTTGAGAGTGGAGCGGAGACTGTAGCATAGACTGTAGCAACGACTGCTAAGGAGGTTGAAGCTGTAGCTGTAGCTGTTTGCAGTATCTCGAACTGCAACTGAAGATGCTGTGCCATTTTATTTAGCTCCAATTAATTAGTGCTTCAAATGTTTTGCCATAAGTTAAGTTAAAACCGCACAGTTTGCGATTGACATTACCACGTTGGCAATCGGACGTCTACGAAGACGACGACGGCGAGCGACGACAACGACTACAAAAGATCCACAAAAAAGTCTGCCCACTACCAGCAACCAAAAAAAAAAACATTATGGCGGAGAGTTAGGCACATCTATATGGCTGACTGCCGGGTTTGCTTCTGAAATGTGTAAAACTCACGTGTGATGTTGTTGATGCCTCCTGCTCTTTGTTTTTCGGGTTTCAAGGAACTGTGTGTACCGTTGGCTGCTACCTTTTGTGGGTGGGTGTAACATTTGCTGCTGGCATAGCCAGAGAAATTAGACCATTTTGTATTGATTGATAAGTTCGAGACGGTGACGAGGAGAAAACACGCAGATCGAGCAGGAAGAAAGGCAAGGAGCGAAGTCTTTCCTGAAAATCAATTAATTCATATTTTCGCAGATGTTCGAAGTATCATCATGATAGTGAGAAGGATATGGGAGGAACGTGACTGTTAAGAATTTTCGCGAATTGATTGGGGAAATTAAATTAAAATAAATATCTCATGGCAAGAGTATTTTGACGCAAAATAAATTTCTGAGAAAACTAAAATATCCTATTTTGCGAGTGATTATTTTATAAGTGCTTACAAAATTAATTACATAGATGTACAATACAGTCAGCTAAACAAACCTATACCCTTTCTATATCTTTCTGGGTACAAATTCTAGAAAATAAATATCAAAATAAATCAATTTATATTACTATTTAAGCGCACTTCATTCATTTGCTACATGCGCTGTTTGCCCATAAAAAACACACCAATCAACACAACAAATTTTTAAAATTCATAAAAACTTAAAAGCGTTCATTATGCCCTCGTGAAAGCAGCACTCGCTCTGCTACAGATACAGCTAGAGATACAAATACAAATTTTGTTTGTAATCTTAGCAAAAAGAACAAACGGCTCGCGAAGATTTCTATAAATATTTTTCAAGCTCGAACAACAAATGCCAACACAAAACTGAAACAGAAACAACCGTTAAACAACGAAACGAAAACTATACCAATATGATCTAAATAATAAACGACACTAATTAAAAAAGACGTAGAAAACTTTGCTGTTTTGTTGTTTTTAACACCTTCAGCGGCAGTGGCAGTGGCAGTGGCAGCAGTCGAGTCAACAAACCTCGCAGAAGGAAACCAAACCAAAGCCAAGGAAAAGCCAGAGTCAAAGGAGAGTGGTATAGGAGGTTGATGGAGAGGTAGGGCAGAGGTAGAGGGAGTGTAGAGGAGTAGGGGATAGAGGTAGAGGGGTGGACGTAAATCTAGCGCTGCTTCCTGAGGTGAAACTAACCGAAACAGTTGCTACGTTTGGTGTGTGGATCTTCTGTGTGTTTTTGTGTGTGTTTGGGGCCTGTGCCAATGGTGTTAATTTTGCCACTTAGCATGCAACCCCATCAGATACAGATACAATTTTTTGTTTTGTATCTGTAACACAACACACGCCGTATGTTAGGGCCCGCTCTGACAGCAATTTTATGCTGCTAATTTCATTAACACATTTCACGAGAAAATCGAGCAGTTCAGCAGCGCAGGAGCTATTTACCAGTCCAAGTTTTGTTATTGGGTGAAGTGATTGTTGCACCAGATATAAGCATGTACACTGGGAAAACATGTTTGACTGACTGTTTGAAGCCTTTAATCTTTAATTTTCTGAGAGAACTTTGGTTGATTCAACTAATTTGTTTGATCAATATTTTATCCACTTTTATGTTCGCTGCATTTATCCACTCGATAAGCACGCCGCCTGCACCTCGAGGTAAGAAAAGCTTTTTCCCTTCGAGGTTTGCCAAATTATTTAATTGCGGCATCCTTTTGCTAATTGCCCTGACGGTAAAGTGCAGCAGTCGGAGCCTCAGCTAACCATCAATCCCGAGTCGAGTCTCAGGCTCCAAGAAGAGTCGAGAAGTAGCAGCAGCCGCATAGTTGGGGTAATTTCTGGCCAAGACACCGCCGGGCACATAAAGACTCAAAGCCTGAGCCAGAGCCGAGACCCAATATCTCGGACCAAGAACCCCAAAGAGCCGAAGTCATGGGAAAATTTCCGTACACACACAATCTGGGGTTTGGCTTATGCTTTGCAGGAGAAAGAAGAGAGAACTGGAGGAAAAAACTCAGTTCGCACGCAAATTAAGATAATCGAAAGCAAATGCAGCAACGGTAGCAGAGACTCCATGGGTAGGCAAAAAAAAGAAACAGGAACGGAACGGGTTTAGTACCCGGTAGCTACAAATCATAAAAATATGAAAAATTATGCGGCGGCGTCGGCGGTGGCAACAGACAGCAGACAGTTCCCGCTGGTTGTCCATGTCCAGGCTGAACCGAACCGTCATCATCATCATCGAAGTGTGCTTTTGGCAGTCCATCATTAAATTGTGGGTAAGATTCCAATCAAACATATAACCGACAAGGAGAACCCAAACCAAACCTAACCGGAGCTTCAACGGTAGCCACTTGAATTCTTTTATTTTTTGAGGCAATGAAAATTTCAGCTCCGGTTTCCTCTCAGTGTGATGTGGCATGAACTGTTGCGATGTAGCTTGATATGTTGTGGTTGTGATTTTTGATTCTTACAAATATATATACTGGCATATAGCGTCAAAATAAGCACAGTAGCCCCTGCCCGACTGCCAGAATGCATTATGGACTTTTGAGTGCAATAAATTATATGGCCAACACACACAAAACTAGTAGCTCCTGCCAATTGATTGACTTGATTAAAGGATTTCGTGGTAAGAGATTCGGGACATATATTTGTGGCTGTCCTTGTGGCTTGTGAGATTTTTGTTTATGTTTTGTATAAGTGGAAATGCGCAGGAGTTGATTTGGTTATACTTTTGATACGTTCTCGATGCCCTTTATCCTAAGAATCTCTCTGCAAATGTATCCCAAAATGAGCTCCTTAAATATCTATTTAGGCACATTTATCCATTTCATCAGAGTTCTCAACTGAATGACAGCTCATCGAAAGATTTACCTTCGCAGTCCTCTTCTTCACTGCTAAGCTGCACTACGTAATGTAGGCATGTGGATCTTCGTCCATCTCTATGTTCACCCAGTGTGCTCGGGCCTGCTGCTCTTGCTGCTGCTCCACCTCCATTAATATACATCTGAGGCATATTCTTACTCTATGGCCTGCCATATAATTTTGCTAAAGGCCGCAACCGCTGAGAAACCCCTGGTTGTTAGATGGCCAACATAAGTCAGCCAGCTCTTTTTTTTTTGTGCAGCTTTTTTCACAGCTTCGTTATCCTACATTTGTATAGGGTTATTTTATAGGGTATATTGTATTTGTGCGAATAACGGTTGTATGTAACGCATAGAAGGAAACGTTTCCGACCCCATAAAGTATATATATTCTTGATCAGCATCAATAGCCGAGTCGATTGAGCCATGTGTGTCTGTCGGTCCGTCCGTCCTTATGAGCGCCTGGATCTCAGAGACTATAAGAGCTAGAGCCAGCAAATTTTGCATCCAGACTTATGTATGCTCACACTGTTACAAGTGTATTTCAAAAATAAGCCACGCCTCCTTCCGCCCCTCCAGAAGGGCGAAAACCTCCCAAATCTACAATTTTGAAGAAAAAAGAAAACTAAAAACGCCATTCTGTAGGGAATGGCCATATCTATTAGATCACCAAATTGGGATTCGATTGGATCATTGGATTGGATCATTATTATAGCCAGAATGAAGAAATTAATTTGCAGTGGCTAAACAAACCCCGTCCCGCAGCTTATATTTTCTTTTTCACATTCTCTCATTCACACTCTGCTTCTGCTGTGTGAGGCCACTGCCTCTGGCGCGAGTCTGCAGTGTGTGGGTCTAGGGAAGGGGAGCGAGCTAAAGGAGAGTGTTGGTTTGAGAAGTGTTGTAGATGTAGATGAAAGATGAAGAAAAAATGTTAAATTTTACAAAAAAACCGCTAAGGTGCAGATGTAGTACTGAGTGCCGGGTATAAAAGTTGTGACGCGTAAGAAGCGTCTCACACGTCCCTTCTCGTTTTTCTTTGTGTTCTATCGTCGCCCCTATTCAAATTTGTAGGTGTGTGTGGGTGTGTGTGTGTAGGTGTGGCAAAATGTATCGATTACTGCCACTGACTTACGCAGAATACAATAAGCCACAAGGCTAAGGAAGTAGGAGAACGTTCCCCAAACAAGTGTTTCTCACGCAGAATTCCAAGAAAGGATTATAAGGAAACCGAAAAATGGAAATGCATTGTGTGGCTCGTCGCCAAGGCAATTAATTTTACTCAGGTCTCGGTGTGGGTACAGTTCAGGCTGAGGTTTAAGGTTACCCAACGATCTCAGACTCGGCTCCAAGTTGTACTAAGCAGAGCTGCCCATCAGTTTGAGAGCTCTGGGTCTGGCATTCATTATACGCCGTACTGCACTATTTTTTGTTCTGCAGATGGAGGTAGTAAACATTAGAGGTGCCCGCAAGCCGAATACCTTGGCTAAACTATATCGTGGGAATAAGGCAAATAAACTCGCCCAAATTACACACACACACACACAGACAGAGACAGAGAGATAGCAGAGAAACAAAAGGGAGAGAAAGAGATATCTTTACCTAGACAAGACGCTCGAAGATGTTCGCAAATTTCGTGTTTCTCTTGGCCTGCAATTGGTATTGACTGACTCTCGGCTCGAATTGAACTCGATGTTTTAGTCACTGGTAGTCTCTAGTCTCTGGTATCTCTGGCATATTTGGTCTGGGGCTGTGGCCCTCGACTGACGCCCCTGATGCATATTAAAACTCGACTCCTTCTACCTTCTCCTGTGAGGTTTGAGAGGGAGTCCTTGCCTCAGCGTTCTTGTGATTTATTTGCTGCACAAATTTTAACGATGGCGCTCTGAGCGGACCCCAGCGCCATTAAAATCACTCACAGAGAAGATACAAACCACCGCCCCATGCGCATTTAAAATTAATTTTAGTTAATAGTTCTGGCATTATGTTTCGAGGGTCTGGTCTCTCTTTCTCTCTCTCTCTCTAGTCTCTCTTTCCCGTGTTATGGGCTAATTAGTGAGCGACTTGCGCTTGCCATTTTGGCATATCATTCGCATCGAACTGGAACAAGATTTGTGTTTAATTTCTACAGAGCACGGCTTTACAGTTTTTTGGTAGCTAGAAGGTTTATCTAGTTGTAGCGTTGTATGTACGCCAGCCAGTTTAGCTGCTGGGTCCTGGCTTGATTAAGATCTTCCGAGTGGTTCACCAAAGGATGCCCAGTCTGAGATTAAAACATGTGGCTCTGTGACTCTGTGGTTGCGAGTCTCTACCAACGAGCTGTGGGTCTTCGGGGCAGTGGCTGATCCCACACTCGGCCTGCAGGCTGTTGCCTCCTCGTTGCTGCTGCTGACGCCTCGCTAAGAATCGTGTTTATGCTTTTAATTAGCAACAACAACTTTTACAGTAGTTGACACAAGAAAAACAGCAGCAGGAGAGAATCATCCAACGGCAACACGTTGATGCTGCTTAGTTCAGATTTCAAAGTAGCGATAGATATTAAGAAATGTTGACATGTCTCGCTCACTCAGATAAATTTTGATGTAGATTGCATGCAGCAAAAGCCTCCCCCAAGTCCGCTGTTATCCAGCTAAATCTTTAGCCGCTTGGCCGTTAACACGTTTTTGGCGCTTTATTTAGTTGCGGTTAATTTTGTTGATTTTTTTTTTGTTTTGTCATGCATTACGAAAGGATGGCATCTTGTTTATGAAAAATATTTGCTAGGCTTATTAATTATTCCACAAATAGTCAGCGGGGAAAATCAAATTTCCAAAGCTTTTGCAAGCAGCTAATTGGAAAAAAGTGATGGGTAAAAGGTATCTGGTGCACCCCAGTTGCTTCTTAAAAGTGTTCAAACGTGCTACAGTTAAGAACTGGCGTATGCTCTTGTCTGCCCCTTTATCGCCCAATCGCCCTTCTTCTGCACCACAAATGTCAGGACAGAGGAGCGAACAATCGCAGCCTTTGAATCAATATTCATTTTAATTGTAAAAATCACCTTGACTTAAATGTGTGCGCCAAACCACTCGACCACTCAATTCTTGGCCCCAACCAAAAGTGTTCTATTATGGCCAAGACGCACAGACAGAGAGGGAAAGAGGTGATGAATATTTCAAAGCCAGAAGGCGATTGCGAGACAGCTCCGCAGGCCTGTGGATGACCAGCCTCTCTGGCTGGTTGCATGCAAAACTTAAGCGGCTACACACGGAATGCCAGTGAGATTGTTTTAAATGTTAACATGGCCATTTAGAGGCAATAACAGCGGCAGAAATGGCAGACAGTCGACAACGGCTCGAGACCAAAACCGTAATCCAAAACCGGCGTTGTTATTACAACAATATTACCAATATTTATCAAAGCTCTGGCTCTGCAAACAACATCGCAGTCCCCTCCCACCGGCACCACAGCACAACAACAATGGCCCGATCGACGTCAGCATAAATAAGTCAGCGCCGGGCGAACGCAGACGCCGGGCTGCATAAAAAGACAAATTTATGATTTATGAATTCAACCTTGTAAGTAATATGCTCACAAAAAGTACGCAAACGGACACAGTGCTGCTAAACGTTTGTGTAGCTTGCCGCAACAAGTATAACGAGTGAACAGACCTAACCAACAGACCCACCAACCAGCGAATTGACCACAGCTCCAACCTACTTGCACAATTGCACCAACGAAAACAGCAACAACCAACAGCAACAGTCACAACTTACTGTACTGCTTGCTGCATGATTTTTAAATGCGCGATGAGTTATTTATGCATCGGGAATTTTCGTTCTTTTGGTATGTTCGATCCATCCTTAACCCATTGTTGCAATGTTGTGCTACGAGAATCACTTCATAATAAATGCGAAATTATTGATAACTGAAAGTTAGAGAAAAAACTTAAAAAATTTCGAAAAATGTCTTAGAAATTCCCTAGAAATTCACTTACAATTCCCAGAAGTCTTTAACATTAATTATAAGAACCGATATTCTTAAAGAATCACAATTGTTCGATTTACCCATATTCCATTTTTGTAGGTATTTATCAATTAAGCCTGAATCTAAAACAAAACTTTCAACAAATTCTATAATAATCTCACTACACAGTTGCCCAGTGGGTTAAAGCGGACAGACTGGCAGTGCTAAGGAGACACTCTCACAGTGGTACAGTGGAACACACTCGAGTAGACGGCTGTGAAAACATTTGCCAGACACGGTTCGGTCCGGCGGCTGATTTCTATGGTGTCCGCTGGGTTGGTGTGACTGCAGTGTCCGCTCTTCTCTCGTGTGTTTGTGCTGTGTGTCCGCTTATTAATCTGTAGCTTTGAACATTTTCATATAATCTAATTGTTTCCTTATTTTGTTGCCTCTCTTAATCAAGTGATATTCTCTGTTCTGCAGGTTCGATGCCAACAAATCTACCAAGGGCGCCTCGAAGATGCGACGCGATCTTATAAATGCCGAGATAGCAAATCTGAGGGATCTGCTGCCATTGCCGCAATCGACGCGCCAGCGTCTCTCGCAGCTGCAGCTGATGGCGCTCGTCTGTGTGTATGTGCGAAAAGCCAACTATTTTCAACAAGGTAAGTCCCCAGAGAGTCCCTGAAATCCCCCTGAATGCCCCCTGAAAGCCCGTTGCATATATGCATGCTGATAATTGGCTGCACGTTGATTGAATATTCATGAGTCATGAGCCGATGTAGATGGAGATTGTATGGCCAAGATTGGGGGCGCTCGAGAGTCCGCGAAGGAAAGATTGAGACCCACCGCCTGGCTGGGTTGGCTTTCGCTTAGCTTAGGTTGGAATAAAAACAACTATTCGCTATGCTCGGTTTAAATCAACATCATTCAAATGTCGGGTGTCCCTCTATCATGCGCGCTCCCCCTGTGATTGCAATTGCGACTGCGACTGAAATTGTTCTTGGCCAAGTAATTGCCTAAGCGTCTACGCATGCACCCAGGCGGGAAAAAATTGCCCCAAGAGCAGAGGAGCCCCTTTGATGCCTCGATACCAAAGGAGGAGATGAAGGATCCTATCCTCCTTTAATGCGCATGCTCGCAGGTCAACGCGCAACCGAACAAGATCGTTCGCTCTTTACTTGCAAATTTCTGCTGTTTTTTTTTTTTTTTTTGGTATAATTACGAAAATTGTTTTTCAAATTAGCGTTGTGCGGTACCATAGATAACACACACAAGACTCGAAAAACTCTTAACTCTCGGCTCGCATCTCGGCGCAGACAGAAACCCAAGAGGAGAACCCGTGTGAACTCGGTTTTTGCGCGAAACTATTGCAGATCAATGGGCATGCCATGGTTTCCGTAGCACCAAGCACTAAGCATCTAACTCCTCCAACCTGTGGCCTAGACCCGGTCTGCTGGGGCCAGGCAATTTCACAATTGCAATGGTAACAACGAGCGTCTGCCTGGCATTGCTATAAATATTGCGATAAATCAAAATGTGCGATTTATGTGTTCTACAAATTGCAAAAAATTAAAGTTAAGTACTGCCTTTTCTTTTTTCGCTTGCCCTCCCTTTCTCCTATCTGTGCCTGTCTTTTGGTTAAGTGTGAGAAATTGTCGGCGTTTTGTTGGCCTGCATCTTTGCTGTATTATTTGGGTGTGTGTTTTGCGGACTGCTGGCTGCCGTGCCACGGCTGTTGTTATTGTCCATTGTCATTGCACTGTTTAATAGCATACATATTTATGTATACAGTCACAAATTGTGTTAATATTGGCACGCCATCGAATGCGCCTTTTACCTTGTACCCTGTATTCGAAGAATAAATAAACCCTATTGTATTTGTTCTCGAAAGAGTATGTATGTAACGCATAGAAGTATATAAAAAAGCCATGTCTTTCTGTCCGTCCGTCCGTCTCGATGAGCGCCTGGTGTATCCAGATTGCTACACACTGCTACCAGTTTATTTCAAAATTTCGAAGTGTGCTGCTCTGGTGGAACATCTGGGGGAGGGGGCAAGCTAAAAGGCAGTGTTGGCATGAGAAGTGATTTAGATGACAGATGTATAAAAAAAGTGAAAATGTTACATTTAAAAAAAAGTACAAGTATACATACATATATATTTTTTTTTTAAACATGTTTTAACTTTATTTAAGATCTGTCTTTTGCAGGCAATTATTAAATTTTCCTCTTTGGGTACTTTGTTATCGGTTGTTGAGTCTGAAAATCCTAAGCAGGCTGCTGGACATGCTGTTATGTAATTATCATTACTAGCATTTGAACCACTGACGTTTTTTCGGTTCGGTTGTGGCAGCCATATGAGAATTTAACGCTCAGCCCCATGGGTTGTCATATGTACATGACTGTACATACATATATTCTGTCTGAGTACTGGGTATAAAAGTTGTGACGCGTACGAAGCGTCTTATGTTCCTCCTTGTTTCTTATTGTATTCACCAACCCAAGTTCAATAGATTCATTCTTTTGCTCTCAGTTCACCTCCATCGAAAACTCTCTCTCTCTCTCTCTCTGGCGGTGGCCTACTAGCATGTGGGTGTGGCTCCCAAGATAGTCGCGATTAATGAAATACATATTTATAAATCGAAATTAAGTTTTCAATACAATAAGAATCTTAACTTTTCTGCGCCTTGCTTGAGCCCACGGTGGAAGCTTGAATCGAACGAAAGCCGGTATAATTGGCAAACATTTAGTATTGTGATATTTGCCAGTGATCAGCGACTAAAAATAGTTATCAGTGTGCCTAGTATGTGTGATTTTAAATTCATAGCAAAGAGTTAATCTGGCACATGGGCAGCATCATCTTTCGATGATCCATTTTTCGCTTTTGTTACAGGTTTGGAATCGGCAGCGCCAGTATAATTGATTAATCTCTAAAATCAATAAACTAGCACATTACAGTTGCTTTGGTTCATTGGTCATCATGTATGTAGATATCTTTTTATTACTGTATGTATGTACTTACACATGTATGTATGCCTTACTTCAATATTTATAGTGATTTTGTTGAGATACTAGCGCCTACCGCACTTCATATGCACATCACTGTGTGCTTAAACACCTATGAAAATTGTTTCTGTTTTCGCCTATGCACAAAACATAGCTGTAACACCTCATGCATGCACGAGAGTGCGTATCTTTCGATTCCCTTTTCGTTCTCGGCTTCTCTTCTTCACGTTGGGTCAGGTAGAAAATTCAAGCTGAGAGCAAACGCACGCGTATTCATTACCGACTCGCATTGAAGCCGCCCCTTCACGTATAACCCACTGTACAATAACCAAGACCCCACCGAATATTAATTTGTCCACCCAGTACAATCATGCGCAGCCATAAATATGTACATACTTATGAAAGAATATTTCTAAATCAGGTGAGAAAATATAATTAATTTTCTGGTACGAAATTACTTGTTACATAATTAAAAAATACAGGACAGTCGACTATTCAGTTCTGTCAGAGTATGCAGATATTTTCGATCAAAATAATTGGAAAGGTTTTATTGCAAAATAATTATACATTGTTAACATATTTTAACTACCTCAAAGTGTTTAATTGACATATTTTATGTCTGACTGTATATGTAGGTGTATAGGCACCTTGAATGAAAATACTCAGCTCTCAGATGAGAACTTGGAAAAGTTTGATTTCCCAGCAGCTTCAGCTCACAGTCATTATAACTTTTTTTGCAGCCCATTTATCATACAAATAATTGATCAACAAATTCAGTTTCACATTGTTACATGTCGCTATACGAAGATATTTTCAAAAGCCTGTGCAGCAACAACATTACCTTGCCCTTGTGCACCAAAAGTTAAGTCGAAAAGCATTAAACTGTCTGCCACACCCCATTAACGGTTGGCAAGGGGTTGGAACGAAATACACCAACGATAGACTTCTTGGCAACACGGATTTCTGAGTATTCGTATTGTATAGTGCAGATGCAGAGGAGTGGAGCGAAGTGGAAATTAAAACCCGACGAAAATCCGCATGCATTCATGGCCTTTCTGTTCAAGTTCAATAAAATTACCAGTTCCGGTTGCCGCTGTTGCCACCGCCGCTGCTGCTGTTGAGCCAAGATGATGCTGACTTTGTGGCCGTTTCTTTCTTTTGTTTTTGGCAGTGCTTTTTTTTCTCTGTTTTGTTTACCAGGTGCGGGAGTATCGTATCTCGTGGTGTTTGAAAAATAATTGATCTTGATTGAGCCTGCAAATGCAGCTGCAAAACTGCAATTGCATAGGAGATCGCTGCCTGATGTTGCTGTTGTGCTGCTGCTGCCTCTCTAAATGACAATGACACATTTTCTTTTTGTGATTCACTTGTTTTTGCGAGCCACACAAAACAAAGTATTGGTTGCTCATTGTTTTTGGAATATAATCAATAAAATAGCAATTAAATGCATCGAACAATTGCCAGCTCAGCAAGAGCTACACTACTCGACACAATTTAACTTTTTTTTTTCTCAAGGAACCAAACTGACTCAAACCGACCAAGCCGAGTCAAAATGTTGCAATAAAAAACGCATATTAATATTTCCCAGACGGTAAGCTAAAACCACAAAGAGTTAGGGTTCACTTTATATATGCATTTATCAGGTTTTTATAATGACAATGATTATTACAACCAGATGTAAGATACTTAAGTTATCTGAAAAAAAAGAAGATCTACCTCTAAACTTCCTTGAGGGTTTTTTAATAAGCCAGAGGTTTGTGCATATAAATTACAGCCATGGGAAAATACTCACATCCACTTAGTGGTTGGCGACGCTTCAAACGGATCTCCCGATCTCGTTGGGCGCGCCTGCTCCTAGACCCAAAACTTAAACTGAATTAATTAGTTTTAATTTTAAAAAATTTGAAAAATGTTTCTCCGTTTTTTTCCCCGATTTCATTGCAGTCTTTAAGCGTCACAATGCAATGCATCACCATCATCATCAGACAGCAACACCAAATATTGGCTTCTCAAAGGTAAGCAATGATTCCTCGAATTTTAAAAGAAAGACAATACAATTCATATCCAATCGTGGGGGGGGGGGGGGGGGGGGGCTGTTGATAATTAGGGAGGTCGCAGCAATATCTGCATAAAATGGCATAGCCTCTGCAGCTTCCCCACCCAACCTCGGCCGGTTTAAAGACATTTTGATTAGGCTGACAGGAGGTGCACAGCAAACCGAGAGAAACAACTCAATTTAAGCAATCGCAATGACAACAGAACCGAAAGTTCCCGGGAAAACAACTCTATTAATGGCATAAAAGCTTGGCCGACCATATCATAAGTCAGAAATCATTTTTGGTTGCGCTGCCACTTGCTGCGCCAAAAGCGAGAAGAGCCGAAACAATAAATGGCTCGCCGTAAACAAAAGAACCCAAGCAAAAGGTTTGCCTCAAACCCAAAAACCAGACAGGAGCAGACAGTAGTCAGTCAAGAGCTGCCTGCCTGCCTGGCACTGACTGCTCCAGTCGGGCAGAGATTGATCTACCTACCTTTGCGCAGTCGTGACTGAATTAAATACTATGTACATACATATGTATGTATCCATCCATCCACTTATAGCTATAGTCATAGTACTACTCTTTTTACTTTTTGTCCCCCTCTTTTATGTGGATTCTCCTTGGGACTGTTTTTTATCACCATTTTTTTCTCCGTTTGTCAGTTGTCAACGCGCGCCTAGACAGTGCTTTTAGGCTAACAATTTATTAGTGTGCAGACGCGAAAATGAATTTGCATTTCCAGCACAAGATTCAATTTATATATTTTCCTGCTCTTAATTCTTTTTTACAAAAATATAAAGTGTCTCATAACAAGTTGGTTCGGATTAGTCAGTTAATTGGGGAGTTGTGAGCAGTCTGGGTGATTGTTAATGAGATTTAAGTTTGGGGCAGTGGATGTAATTATGTTTTACACAATTAAGTTAATAAAGAATAATATGCAGATATGCTCTTTAATAGATTGAAAGCAATTTAAGTATAATTAAGCCAATGTTTTAATTGAAATAAACTAATTTAGTTTACAATTTCATATTTTCCAATGGTAAAATTAATTAATACTTATGTATACCAATATAAAACAATAAAGTTAGCTGGAGCTTCCAAGATTGGCTTTCTGTTGCAAACTTTATGCATATTACTTTCTATAGTTTTACAGTGCTGCAAAGGCCCCTAAATCTGTTTTATACATTTAGAAACCGCGATTAATTAAGTAATATACTTATGCTAATTAGACTGTTAGTGGAAAGATTGTAAGAGAGCGAGTGCTAGAAAAGTAACATTTAAAAGTAATCTATTTGGTCTTACATATTTATGCAAGCTTTCTTAAAGATAAAGTTCATAAACTTTCACGCTTTAGAATGCTTCTTAGTTGCAGTTAACATTCAAGAACAATACATCTGCTGACCTGCTTTGATCAATCATTTAATCTGCATTTACACATCCAATGCTCACCCGACTCAATATTTGTCTTGCAGGCCCTTTCCGGCTTCCTGATGATGCTCACACAAAATGGCAAATTGCTCTATATATCGGATAATGCAGCCGAATACTTGGGTCATTCCATGGTAAGAATTTTTCACAAAGTTTTGCGAATCTTTTTGGGTTTGTTTAGTTGTGTATTTTTTTCTCTTTGGAATTTCCTTCTACTTGAAGGCGTAAAATTGTTACAACCCGTGATAAAAACTCTGACAAGCGACAACAGGCAAACGACGATGCCTGTCGTCGTCGTCAGAGCATGTCATAGACTCAGAAGCAGCAGCAGCGGCAGCAACATATTTCTTCCAAGTTTTTGTCTGTTGTTGGGTGCTGCTGCTGCTTGCTATTGCTGTTGTGGCTGATCCCGTTGACAAGTTAGCAACCCAAAAGACCCAAAAGACCCCCGATTAATTGAGCTTATATAAATCCTTGTTGCTTGTGTAAACCACACACAAAAGTTCCTTAAAGACTGCGTCGCGATGTTTGACGTTGTCAATGAAGGCTGGCCGTGTTTCAAGGTTTGTATATTGCACGTTTATGCTGGTTAAATGGCAAGGTTATACATATCTAAATAAACGTATATCTCTCTCACAGAGTGGCCTTTCACTTTAAGCCAAAAGATTTGAATAAATCTCAGCACACACATGTGACACATCTACGTTCTACACGGCCAGCCCAGACATTGACAAAGGTACGCTAGATTACAGTACAGTATGTGCCAGGTGATTGTCGGGCTCTTCAAGCCGAGTCGACATAGCCATGTCTGACTGTTCGTCTTTTTTTCCATCTAGTTCTTAGAGACTGTAAGAGCTAGAGCCACCTAATTTTTCCTCCAGACTGCTGTGATAAAAGTGTATTTATAAATTTAGCCTCGCCTCCACAAATGGCGAAATTCTGCTGCTTCCACAATTTTGAAGATAAGAGAAAACTAAAAACCAGATTAGAATGTATCATGATTATAGACAGAATGAAGAAATTATTTTGCAGATTCTACCCCCACCTGGTCCAGCGGCTTTTCGTATGCTTGTTTTTTTTCTGTTGCTCATTCGCTCTCGCTTTCACACCTTACATCAATCAGTGTGCGTCACTGGGGCAGGGTGTTGGCGCGAGAACTACAGATGACAAATGTAGAAATAATGTACAATTTAATGTACCAGGTATACTATATGTGACGCGTACGAAGCGTCTCACACGTCCCTCCTCGTTTTTTTTTAGCCAGTCAGACAATCTTTAATAATAACTAGAGTCTGCTGCCTCTTTTAACTTCTCTTGTGGCATGGGGACTGCTTCTTGAAAGGCACTCGGCGGATAGACAAGAACAAGACAAAAGCTAGAAGGTTTAAAAAAAAACGTTTACCAATTGGCAAACATGGCATTTGACAGCCTCTTGGCCTTTGTGCCGGGCCTTATCAGGAGTGCAGAGGAGTCGGAGCACCAGTCTTTGTCTGGGAGTGGAGCAGTGGGAGACACCCACAAGCAGTAGCAGACCGAGCTAAATGGTCAGTGAAGTTCATAAATTTACTCGTATGCTATATGTTGGCATAATTACGGGCACACAATAAACGGAATTGGTGTGCCACATGGGCAGACAGGACAGGACCAAAAGTGGATTGCCCAACCTTTTAATTTGTGGAAAACGCTCAGAGTTAGTTAGCGGTAAGAAAGCGTCGGCAGCCACAACCAACAACAGCATCAACAACTACAGACAAAGTTAATTAACAAACTGACAAAAATGTCGATAGATCTGGGCAACATTGTTGGTTGTTGATTGCTGCGGTTGTTGCACTACCAATAGCCAATTTGGCCACCGATGCTGGTTCTAAGGTTGTTGCTGCTGTTGTTCTGCTATTGTTTGTGTATCATAATTTGAATTCGATTTTTGAATTTTTCCATAGCAAGTTGACATTTTCATGTGACATAAATAACTTACAATAACGGCAATCAACAACAAAAACCACATTCCATTTGAAGTTGGCCAAACGTTCGTTAAGTTCTCTCCCTCTCTGTCTATCGAACTGTCTTTCGGTACTAAGCAAACAACTCATAGAGTGGTCAAATGGAGTAAAAACTGGCTGCCTAATCAGTATAGTGGATTGAGAGCCTTCATCTGAGAGAGTTTGGCGTTTGGCTCTCTTGAGCATTGAACGCAAAATCTGCCACTATACTGATTAGGTGCTTTCGGACAGCCTTTCTGACCATAATTGTCAACTATCATAATCGCACATGACATAAACAAAAAACCGGCAACAATTGCGAGCGAAAGCCACAAAGCCACAAACAACTGGTGGCTGACACATCATTAACAAATTAAAAAAACGAGAAGCGACCGTTATACCCGGTACTCAGTAGTACATCTGTACCTTGTAGTTTTTAAAACAATTTTTTTTCCAATTCCAATTCGGTGATCTGATAGATATGGTCCTTCCCTACAGAATGGTCCTTCAAAATTGTGGCTGTGGAGATTTTCGACCGGAAGGGGGCGGAAGGGCCCGGGGGTCGAAATTTTGAAGTACACTTGTAACAGTGTGAGCATACAGCCTGGATGCAAAATTATGGTGGCTCTAGCTTCAGATCCCGGCGCTCAACAAGACGGACGGACAGACAGACGTGGCTACTTGGCTATTGATGCTGTTTATATTAATGAAGAATATGTATATTCTTTGTGGGGTCGGAAACGCTTGTTCTGTGTGTTCCCCTTTTTCACTTTTTTCCTATTTACTCTTCGAGTACCGGGTATAAAAATAATCGACTGACTAATTAAACCGAAGTTTTATTATCCTTAATCGGCTTAAACGGACACAAAGATGCGCTGGCAGAGAGAGCTTCATGTTTGAACTCCGAATGCTTACATTTTGGTGTAAGATGCAAGAGGAGGATAGGGGAAATATTGGTAAGCTGTGGGGATATTGGTAGAGAGTTAAAAAAAACTAGAGTACAATTTAAAAAAAAAGAAGCTTAAGACGTATTTATTATAAAAATTGATTCAAATTGATTTTGAATTGCCTTAAGTCGTTTTTAATATAAACGAAATTTAATAAATTGATTTATTATGAGAAAAATCCCTTGAAACATTTTTTAACTTTGCCCAAAAAATGTATTAACTTAACTTTAGCATCGCAGTTGTGGAGTAAAATACATTTTCCAACAATTTTGTGTTCATGTTTTATTAACATTTAATTATTTTGTTATGACTAAAAAAATGTATATGACAATATTTAAAAATTCAAATATCCAATAAAAACTCGAATAGTTCCTCCAGTACCAAAGCTCTTTGCTGTCCAGTGTAAGCTCATGTTAACTCTGTCTCCCTTCCCCATCTTATAGGAGGATCTACTGATACATGGTGACTCCGTTTACGATATCATTGACAAACAGGATCACGCAACAATCCAGGCCGAGCTAAATCGGAACGTGCCACCGCAGCCAGGTGGCAGCCAGGCGAACAGCAGCGTTGCTGGCGGCATCGGCGTTGGCGGCGACTCAACGTCCAGCAATGGCAGCGTTGCTGGTGTCGCTGGTGGTGCTGCTGTTGGTGGCGCCTCAAGTGTGGAGGGCGAGCATCGCATGTTCCTCTGTCGTATGAATGTTAGTCGCAATGCGCGACGGCAAATGCGTTTCGGAGATCAAAAGGTGAGTGAAGTGAGCCCAAAGGAATATCGAAGTCGAGTGGATGAGTAAGCCGGCGTGTGTAAGTCACTGACAGAAATTGATGAATGAATCACCCGGAGAAGCGTGTTGCGTGCAACACATGGTCACAGACTCCACAGCTCGCTCTTTGGGATGAATTATGCATGAGCCGCAGCGAACGGGGAACATGGAAAAAAATGGAAATGGATTTGGAATTGGAGCTGAAGAGGGAGGTGGAGCTGGGTGGAGTTTTAGCATGCGTGTTGGCTCTTCAAATCTGGCTAACTGGTCATACATCTTGCCAACGAGTTTAGTTTTATATAAGCTGACAAACGATGTCAGTTGATGCGGAACGCAACGGGTGGGTGCCCCCAAGCCACTGTCCCTCTCTCTCTTTTTCTTGCCGTTCCAACACTGCTCCGATTGGCCGCCTTTCCACGCTCTGTCGATGATGATGATGATTTATAAAAAAAGGCCAGTAAAATGTCGCAAGAGTGTGTGCCCTACTCAAGGCAACAAACAATATGAAGCTGTCCGTCATGCGTCTCTGTGGCAGGGGCAGGTTGAACAAGACAAGACCAAATCTGTTAACGTGTTGAGCGACGCGACGCGTTGGCTGTGCCTGTTGGCAGCCACAGTTGCCCGTTTTTGGCCTGGGGTTGGATGTGCACCCTGCCCCCTCCCGGCTACTGTGCGGCGTTGCATACTCGTCTCACAAAGTTGTGGGCGGTCGCTTCACTTTTATTCATATCTGCGATTCACTCCGTCCCTCCTTTTTTTTTCCATTTTTGCTGCTCAGTGTGGCGAAAATTATGGAGATAAGCCCAGCCGTTGACAGTTGCCTGAAAACGTTTTTAATTAAGTTGAATGTTGGCAGTTTAATGAGGATCAACGGTGTATAAGGATAAAGTTGTAGGCACCAAATGGGTACAAACAAAAAGTTGTTTGAAGCAGTGAAAAGTAGTGGAAAATAGTAAAAAAAAGGAGCTGGGAAAAAGGGTGTTAAAAATACCTTTTTGGACTGCCTCAGAGCTGATGAAAGTTTAGATCTTACAGAGCTCACAGAAATATTCGTAAAGACTTTTGAGAGCCTACTTTAATAAAATAATCAACGTATTAGCAGCCTCGAAATCTGTTAATTAAATCTACAATATTTTTCCTATATGAAAATAATGTCTTCAATATTTAAGCAATATTTTTCCTGCATGGCAGCTAATATTTTAGCAACACTTTAAAAAATCTTACAGGCAGCTTTGGCCATTTGCTAATGGTCTTTTAAATCTAAATATCAACATTGGCTGCGCACTACAATTTTCAAATGAACTCCGAGCCCATGCAATCTAAACTTCGGGCTTAGACCCACATGAACTGTGCCAGCGATAACCCTCAAAGTCGAAGCGCTGCCCACAACCCACCAAAATCCAAGCACATTCACTCGCAGTCAGACAGTCAGGCAGTCAGAGTCAGGCACACTCGTTAATATGCAATAAAAATGGACCAATAAATAATTATGAATGAGGTCAGACAAAGTTCAGTGCTAGAAATGCTAGTACTGCCAGACAAACAGAAAAAAATTCAAAAAAACTATAAAAAAAAATCAAACAAACCAACAGCTAAACGAGAGACTACGACAGAGCCGATAGTGGCGCCTGCTCCCCCAAACTAAGGTCGTCTCATTTACCAAACAAAAAAAAACAGAAAAACATACCCAAAAGACTTTGGCTTCTGCGTCAACGACTGGGGCTTGGTTTTGGTATCACAGGATCGGAGCCAGAGTGCTCTGCATTTGCATTTAAGCAGAAGAGACTACAGCAGCGTCCCACAAGGTACGAAAATTCCATTGCAGTTCGGAACGAAATGCAGGCACGTTTTAATTGGCAGACAATGCCTGGAATAAACTCTGAGACTGACTTACAGCTTCAAAGACTCGCAGCCTCGAAGACGTGCAGCCTCTGAGACTGCCTGGTGTTGTGGGTGAGAGTCCCCGGCTAGGAGTCAATACTGGTACAAAACAATTCTGGGATTGCCTTCTTATACCTGGTACTTGAAGAGTAAATAGAGGATATTGTATTTGTACTCGAAAGTGGATGTATGTAATGAACTGAAGGAAACGTTTCCGACCCCATAAAGTATATATGTTCGTGATCAGCATCAATAGCCGACTCCATTTAGCCATGTCTATCTGTCCGTCTGTCCGTCTTGTTTGTCGGCTAGTTCTCGGAGACTATACAAGCTAGAGCCACCGAATTTTGCATGCAGACTGATGTGATATTGTCGTTGATTTGCAATGACTGCACCAACCGACCGAGGGGCGCTGCCGCATGACGCGCGGCGCGATTAACCGAACCGGTCGCGAGCATGCAGGAAAGATAGATGTTAGGCTAATATTCGAGGAAAATTTGAACTAAACACAACTAAACTAGAGCAAGTATAGCTAAGCAAGCAAAACTATCAAAGTCAGAAACAAGACAAAGCTAAAATGATACTAACTACGGGAGAGGTAGGCTAGTATAAGAGATTTAAGAAGAGGAAGGGAGTTAGTCGAGGATATAATGTGGTAGAGGGAATTATAATCAGAGCATAAGACCCTAAAGGGTTCGTGCAAGGCATAATTCGATCTGCTAGTGGAAGGAACAAAGGAATATAGTTTCTAGTGTGTTAAGTAAGGGCTGTCTGCATCCCCCTTGATCAAGTTGTGCATAAAAATTACACCAAGCATTTTTCTACGACTAACTAAGGATGGAAGATTTATTAAAAGAAGTCTACTACGGTAGGATGGCAGTCTCACAGTTGAATCCCAGTTGAGACCCCGTAGGGCGAATAATAAAAATTTGGTTTGTACTGATTCAATACGGTCCTGATGTATGTTGTACTGAGGGCACCATACACATGAACCGTATTCTAAAATCGGACGAACAAGCGAGATATAGAGATTATTCGTTATATAGGGGTCATCACCTCTTTATAAACCCAAGCACACCCATGGCTTTATTTACCATGTTAGAAATGTGTTCAGAAAACTTTAACTTGGGGTCTAGTTTAACACCTAGAGCATCAACCAATGTCATTCTCTCAAGAGAACTACCGCCGAGGGTGTAAGGAGCCAGGAAGGGGCTGGAGCGATATAAAGTCATTACATTTCACTTCGACGCATTAAGTTGTAACATATTTGCACAGCACCATGACTGAAAGCTATTGAGATCAGATTGCAAGCGAGAGTGAAATGAAATGTCCTTATACTGGACACAGAGTTTAACATCATCCGCATACATAAGTACTCGAGAATTTGTTAATACCGAAGACAGGTCATTAATAAAGAGTGTGAAAAGTAAGGCCTAAATGGCTACCCTGTGGTACTCCAGAAGTAACCATAACAGGTAAAGATAAGGAGTTTTTGTAAAGGACCCATTGAGACCTAGAACACAGGTAGCTAGAAATCCATCTCAACAGATTGGGCCTAGAACCCTAGAAGGTCGAGCTTTTGTGCAAGAAGAGAATGGTTTACGGAATCGAATGCCTTACTGAAGTCAGTGTTAATAACAACTGTCTGCAAGTTACCTTGGAATCTTTTAATGACAAAGGAGATGAACACTAAACGATTAGTGATTGTTGATCGTCGCCGAATTAATCCGTGCTGAGCTGAAGTTATAAGTTATTTTTAGAGATGTTGCAAGTGTAGAGTAAAAATTGTCTCGAACATTTTAGGAATAGCGGATAACTTAAATATACCTCTAAAGTTTTTAGCGTTAGACTTGCTACCTTTCTTATGGAGAGGAATTATAAAGGCTTCCTTCCTGATAGGGGGAAAGCTAGAAGAATGGATGGATAGAATGAATAGTTTAAGCAAGGGTCCGCACAGAGACTCGGCACAGTACCTGAGTACACAGCCGGGAACTCCGTCAGGGCCCGGTGAATATACAGGCTTAACTAATTGCAGTTCATGAAGTAAGGAGCCTTCATTAAACACAGGGAAGAAAATTCCAAAATTGGCGATTGCCTGATCACTGTTTGCCGACATATTAAAAAATGATAGCGAGGATGGATGTGCGGACGTTCTACGCTTACTGTTTACAAAGCTGTAGAACTGTTTAGGGTCCTGTGAAAAACGTATCCTGCATCGAAGGAGGTAGTTTCTATAGCATTGAGCATTAAGAACAGTGGAGTTTGACCGAGCTATTAAGTAATTAGAAAGAGAAGAGGGAGAACCAACCAACTTCTTGAGATTTTTTAAATAGTCTTGATTTTAGGTTCTTTAGACTGGATAACTCTTTGGTGAACCAAGGAGGTTTCGAAGATCTAGACGGACATGAGAGTGGGACACACGTGCCAAAAATTGAGTCAAGTACATTGTAAAAAATGTTTGTGCCTTCAAAATGTCTAATTAAGTTATTGAGCTTCGTAAACTCGGCTTTACGAAAGCAGCGGACGCGTTCAGATAGCCTACCCGCACGATCCGATACAATAGGTCCAATATCTACCGACACTTCGGAAGTAGGATGGTAGCAGTCTTCAGGTATAGTGAGCGGGAGTGCTCGTGTTAACAACGCTACGCTCAGATCCGAGACAAAGCACAAATGAAGCAATCGACCCAAGGAGTTTTTTACATGGTTGACTTGAGACAGGGACAGGTCTAATAAGCCATCAATAAAATCATGTCGTGACATGGGCACAAGGTTGTTTGACTCGTTAACCGAAGACCAGACAGTACCTGGCAGAAATCCCCAATAACTATTAAACGGTCTTTATCAGATAGCGAGGAAGAAACAGTTTTTAAGGCGGACAAGGCGGAAGTATATTAATACATCCGAAGTCGTTGAAATATACGAGCAATTGACATAAATATACTGGCCGGGAAGAATCAGTCTAACACAGAGGAATTCCAGGTCTTGTGAGACCTGAACTATGAAAAGTTCCGACGTAAAGTAAGAGTTTACTGCAATCAGAGCCCCTCCTCCACGTCGAGACGAACGATCATTCCTATAAATTGTGTACCGATCTACCAAAAATTCGGAACTAAGAATGTCCAGCTTTAACCAGGTTTCGGTAAACACAACAACATGGGATGAAAATGTGAAACTATCCAAAAAAAGAGTGCTCAGCTTACTACGTAAGCCGCGAGCATTTTGATAGGCTACAAAGAGGGATGTTAGTTTTTTTGACTGCAAGGAATTGCACTGGGAAGAGGTGAATGGAGCAGAGGAGGAAGGACCACTGGCCTCACTACTAAGAAGAGTTATGGGGGGCCTATTTTTCTTCTTAGCCTTAAACTCTTTCACAACCAGGTGCTCTGGCCAAAATTTGGAAGAGCAAATGGTCTCGAAATGAGGTGGAGACACGCTAATCTTGAGAGAGGATATCTCCCTGGTATAAGATAAATTAAACTTCTCCACCTTTAAGCCAACGGCTTTTATTTTGCTGTGTATAAAACCAGTTACATCATTAGATGTTAGGTCAGGGGCAAGCCGAGAGACAAAAACTTGCCGCTTTGGTGGGACTCCCACCAGAGGTTTTGGCACCACAGATCTGGTACCTGTGACGGCAATATCCGGTGGTCCGGGACGTTTATTAACTGGTGGCAGCTAAAACTGTGAGCGCGCGCTACTGCACAGAAAGTATTGAGAGCGAGAGAGGGAGATAGGGAGAACATTTATTCGGCTAATAGTGAGGGCGTACTTACAAAAAGAAAAACGCACAAACACACAACAAACCGACGCACAAATGATAACGATTAAATTTTAATTTTAAACAAATAATAGGCATGCACTCGCGTATTAGGATATTGAAGAAAATTGGCAAGCTATTCAGTAATTATAAGAAGAATTATTTCGAAAAAACCCGGTTGTTTATCCAAAATAGAGAACGAACGAGAACGAACGAAGTGATATCACACTGATACAAGTGTATTTCGTAACGAAAGAGAACGAACGAAGTGATATCACACTGATACAAGTGTATTTCAAAATTATCACCGACCCCTTCCTCCCTCACAATGGGGAGAACCAGCTGTATCCACAATTTTCCAGCCCTTCCCCCCACCCCTTCCAGCAGCTTTACTTGTGCTTGTTTTTTGTTGCTCATTTGTTCTCGCTCGCACCCTCTGCCTCATGCAATGTGCGTGACTGGGCGAAGGTAGCGAACCAAAAGGTCGTGTTGGCGTCTACATCTACAAGATGACATATGTAAAAAAAATGAAAAATGTAAAATTCTAAATAATCAACAAAGGTACAGATATACTGACTACCTAGTATAAAAGTTGTGACGCGTACGAAAAGTATCACAAACATTCCTACTCTATGTAAATTATGGAATCCGAGTAAAATGTCAATGAGAGAGCAGGAACGCCCGCCAGCAGCAGAGCCAACAACTTTGAGCGCCCATTTCTCGTGGGAGCCAGCCGCCAGCACAGAGCTACTCCAGGGTTCTCAATTCTACTTCTCTCTATCTCTTTTTCCTTGCAGGTTGTGCTCGTACAGGGTCACTATATGTCATTTTTGCCGCTGTGCAGTCGGAACGAGCCTGTTTTCTTGGCCACCTGCACGCCCATTGCCATGCCCGAGACGCGCGAGTGTGTGGTGCAAGGTGCCACAAATGTGTTTACAACAATTCATTCGATGGATATGAAAATTGCGCACATTGATAAGAAGTAAGTAGACAAGAAGATGTGGGAAAAATATAATTAATTTGTTTTTATTATACACGGAACTAGAAGAGTAAAATGGGTATTTTGTATTTGAGCTTGAAAGTGGATGTATGTAACGCACAGAAGGAAATGATTCCGACCCCATTAAGTATAAACATCTATTCTTGATCAGCAGCAATAGCCGAGTCTATGTTTTCTGAAACAATGTAAAATGTAAAAATCATAATTTTACATATGTAAATACATATCCTCATTTTTAATTAAATCATTTTCATTTTTAAACTCTTTTATTTTCCGATTTGTAGTGGCGAGTTCCATTTGGGCTATGAAAAAAGTACCTTACAGGCCACATCTTGGTACAACCTGATACACAGTGAGAACCTGCGAGAGGCGCAGAGCAAACACAGGCTAAGTAAGTGATCGTAGCGATATTTCTAGGGTAGATATAATAAAGTTAAGTGTTGGCTTTTATTTAATTAAACTTGTTTCAATTTAATATTTATATATACATATATAAATATCTATATCTTGAATAAAAATAACATTTCGTATATTTTATTTAATATTGTGTTACATTTTGTCGTTTTAATTGAGCTTATACGATGTCTTAAGTGATTTAAACTCATAAATAACGATTTAAAGTCATGAAAATCAGATAATAAAATCCTTTGTAATCTATTCAATTGATCCAAACCGAGCTCTAAATATTATTGAATTTATTAACTATTGAGATAAAAATCTTAAAAATTGTCAAAACCATTCAAGCCGCTTTAATATCTAATCAATTGGCGGTACATTTCGATCAATAGAGACTGGTTCCTACTAAGTATGTACATGTCCTTAAAAAAATAAAATAAAATAAAGTAAAAAATTGATTTAATTCGAAGAGTTGAGTGTCGCATTTCAAATTAAATAATATTTATTGTAATTATTATTACACGCGAATAAATTTAAATCAAAAATGTCTCTCAAAATTGACAAAAATATTATAGGGTGTGTACAGTAAACTGTAAAATGCATCTAAAAATGAGTCTAAAACTGTCTCTTTAAATGTATCTTAAAGTGAACCTAAAAATGTCTCTAAAAAATAAAAAAAAATTTAATTTATGTTCTTGCAGTAACCCAATCGGAACAGGATCGTAGCTGTATTCTGCTGCTGAGAATGCAACGCTCCAGCGCTGAATACACGTGGGTCCATGTGGTGCTACAGGTGCGAGACAGTCCCGACTCCACTCAACAGCCTGTCATCGTGTGCACCAATCAAGTACTCAAGTAAGTTAAAACATCAATCCATGCCTAAAAAAACTATCTACAGACACACACGGATAACCCTTGGAATCTCTAACTGAATCAACCATTGCAGTGATCGCGAGGCATCTGTGATGCTGGCCAATTCTTGGCTGTACCACTACTACACTGTACAGTCAAAGATACAGTTTGGAATGCCGCTGGACAGTGGCATGCGGGTGCCGTCGGGCAGCACATCTAGCGGTTATTACAGTCCACATTCCACACATGCGCAGCAGACACAGGACGGCGCCACGCACGGCCTGAGCATGACAAGTGCAGCGGCAGCAGCAGGAATGGCGAATATCTTAGGTGGTCATCATCATGCGCATCTTTCGCACCATCATCATCATCACCACCATACAGCGGCGGCATATCATCACCATCCGCATATGGGAGCGTCCTATGGCGGCGTCTATCACGCGGAGGCTGCCATTCAGCTGAAGGAGGATCAGCCGCTGTTGCGGTGCTTTCAGGAACCCGTCGACTACAGTCAGGTGAACGGTGTCGCTGGTGCTGCCAGTCCCGTCACACCCATAGCCAGCACCACCTCGAATCCCTCAAGCAGCGGCAGCCAAAAGTCCACACAATCCGCCACACCTCCGCTACAAAAAAAGCGCGCCAGAAACAAGCTGGAGCCGCTGTTTTTGCACACGGAACGCTCTCCAGCGGCAGCCATTACGCCGGAACCCGACTGCTATGCGTTACACACGCATCCAGCGGTCGCGACAGCAGCAGCATATGCCACAGCCGCAGTATCCAGCAACGATGTTTCGGTCATTTATGCCACCATTGTGCCGACTAGACCGCGGCTGCCCAACAAATCGCTGCCACCCGATCCAGCGGATTTTATCGAGCAATGGAATCCCAGTCCACCGTGGTCAGAGTCTGCTCAAAAGGCGTCACTCGACAGCTTCAGTTCGTCCCACGAGCTGAGTCCCTGCATTACGACGACACCGCCCACGCCGACGAGTGCGACGCCGCAGCAGAGTGGCCTCGGCCCACAGCAGACCATTGGACCGGCGTTTAGTTTTGAATGGATGTCAGACCCGCTAGTGCCGCTAACCTACCAGCAGTGGCCACCCACAGGCGATCATCATCAGCAGTTGTCGCAGCATTTGGCAGCGACACAACAGCAGCAGCATCATTCGCAGCATCATCATTCGCAGCAGCAGCAGCATCTCCTACAGCAGCAGCTCCTAATACAGCAGTCGCAGCAGTCATCCCAACAGTCATCACAACATTTAACACTTCATCATGTCCACTTCGCAGCAACGACAGCGGCAACGCGTGCGGAGAATTCCATAGCTGAGGTAGCGCCAGTGCCGATCCCCATACCCCTACCCATACCTTTACCCATAGCTCTACCGCTGACCACGGACCATGCAGATGCCGGGCAACTTGTTGATGATAGAGGTTAGTACATTTTTTTGATTGTCACGACTTCTTTTCATTAAGCTACAAACCCATTGGCGGCACAATGCTAAGTAATTAAAGAAAGATAAAACAATGCGAGAATCTAGTAAAAACGAGTAGGAACGTTAGTGGGAGTCTTCGTACGCCGGGTACTCAGTCAGTATATCTGTAACCTAGATGTTTTTTTCGAATTTAATATTTTACATTTAAATTTTTTCTACATCTACATCACTTCTAAACAAAGCGGTCTGGATGCAAAATTTGGCGGCTCTACCTCTTATAGTCTCTGAGTACTAGGCGCTCATCAGGACGGACAGACAGACATTGCTCAATCGACTCGGCTATTGATGCTGATCAAGAATATATATACTTTATGGGGTCGGAAACGTTTCTTTCTGTGCGTTACATATTTTGTGCACAAATACAATATACCCTATTTACTCTTCGAGTACCGGGTATAACAAGACGGACGGAGAGACAGGCAGGCATGGCTCTATCGACTCGGCTGATTAAGAATATATATACTTTATGGGGTCGAAAACGTTTCGGGTAACGGGTATAAAAAACAAAAAATAACTCAATTATTTATGAGAGTAGAGTTTTTTTGGGAGCCATCGCCAGCTATCCATCCACATGCCACACTTATGTTAATCCTCCTTCCCCTCTCCTTCCTCTTGCAGATCCCAAAAATTAGTGAGCAGCAACAACTTCGGAACACCCAGAGGTCGAAACGGATCAGAACAAATCCGACGGAACGAACGGAACGGCTTGCAACCGGCGGCCAGGTGATAATCACACTTACATTAATTGCCACTTGTCATCTTAGCGTTTAAACTATTTTTATCTAACGAAAAAACCAAAACACAAACAAAAAAATGGGAAAACAATAAACTTTGCGACATAACATATTAATTTTTTATCAACTAATTTAAGTAATTTCCAAGGAAGCCATTGTTTTCCCGCGCTACGCGAAAAATAATTAAAAAATAAATATGTATGCAATATGGGCTCTTGGAAATGAGTTTTTGCGAATGGAAACATCAGCTATAAAATAATATAGCACAGAAACAAATAAAATAACCAAGCCAAGTGAGCTCTATTAGTTGTAGCGTTTTTTTATTAGCGTTTATTTTTATGGCATGCGCTTAAACCATTTTGTACGACTATTTATGTAGCTTTTAGCTTTTATCTGTATCTGTTTCTTAACACACCCATATAATCTTGTGCTTAATTCGTCGACGATTTAGGCTAGTTATTTTATTTATTAAACGTTTTATTTAAAAACATTATTTATGAATAATATTCTTTCCTTTAATTAATAAACAAACATTAAAAGTATTATCGTTTGGAAAATTTCAAGAACTTGTTCTTAATTCCATTTTATTTTAGTGGGAAAGGGATAGAAACAAAATAAATATTAAATTAGTTTGAGAAGATCTGCCTGAACAATCCGAAAATAAATTAAGATATCTACATTAAAAACGAAGACTCTTGCTGTACTTTTATTGGAAGCAATATTTTTATTTGCGTGGTATAATTGAATGCAAAAAAGTAAAAAGCTATTCAATTAAATATGCATTAAATATGCCAGACCTAAAAGACATTAGCCTGAAAAAGCTCCAAATAATTTAAAATAAATTCAAAACGAACTCTCGGCTGCAAAAAATGTTACGAAATATTTCACCACGAAAGAAGTTGCACTTCACATAAACAACAATTTCCGCTCCATTAATGACCATCTCTTGACCCAAATATTCTCAACATAAATCTAAGAGAATTTTCACTCCCAATCGCTGATCATGACGACTAAAATCGATTTCCTTAAAAGCTATAGGAAAATGTCATGATTTGTTTCTTAAGTCTGCTTAATGCATTAATGGCTTACACTCTGCACAATAAATTCGAATTTTTCGCGTTCGCCAAAAAAAAAGATAAATGCTAGCCACTCCCCACACTGCTAATGGGCCAAGTTTGGCTAACATTTATAGCAGGGCTCGGCACCCATACAATTGACAAGCCGTTTTTGCGTTTGTGTGTGAAGACGCACGCAAAACGGAACATTTCACTATATTGGTATTGGTACTAATCACAGTAATACGCGTGTACATGAGCGGCAGCGCAGCAGCAGCGCCTTGTCCTATACCGTTTAGATATGGCAGTGCCCAGCCCTGATTTATAGACATTTTCAGTTTCAAAGTACTCGTACTCGACCTGGGCACACACCAACCACTTCATGGTGCTGACGATGCCGAAAAAAGAGCCCCCGAAAACAGACGCCAGATAGTTAGATTTAACACACAACCTTCTCGAGAGCGAGCCCAGAGCCGGAGCCCAGACAGGCTTATTTTTTTCGGCTGCTTCTGCTGTTGCCGAAGATCTTTTGGTGATATCCAACAAATATTGTAAGTAGAATGGCTAACAAAATAACAGACAAAACCAAAAACAAACTAAACGGAATGGAACGCTGACGATGCAGACGCCGCAGCTGACGCGATTGAATGACTCCTCGTCGTCGTCTGATGTCGGTTGTCTGAAGATACTGGCTGGCTGAAAGACTGGAGACGGAGTTGGAGTTGGAGATGGAGCTGCAAATGGAGACCAGAGACGGAGTCGGAGTTTCAGATGGAGATGGCGGCAGAGGAGCTGCATCTGGAGTTATAGAGAGACTTGGAACTGGACGACACACTTACAGGCGACGACGTCGTCCAACCAACAGCAGCAGCTGCATTCTCAGAAATATTGGTGTAGGTCACAGTCAGAGATAACATGCTGGGAGACTGTGTGTGCGGCTCGGATCTGGTCTCAGTCCTGACTCGGCTCGGCCTGGCCTCATTGTATGCAAATGTGCCACGATCAACGCGAGGCAGGCCGGAGCAGCCACCCGCCCAGTTCGTTGCCAGCTCCTTCAGCTCACCCAGCTTATTTGCCCATCCCCCTGCTACCCATGCTGCTGTCCTGCTGCTACTGCTATTCATGGGTGCCAGAATCGTTTTGTGTGTAAGTTACTCGCATTTGCGTTTTTCTGGATTTTCTGTGTGTTTAGTTTATTGTTTCCTTTTTTTATTTTTTTTTGAGCTGTGCGATATTTGGCATTTTTGCATTTCCTTTGTCCTGGCCAGGAGAGGAGACGCTTATGTAAGCGACAACGCATACGGCGAAGATTCCTGCTGCTGTAGCACGAGAATTGTTAAATGTTTCCCCTCTCAGCTTTAAATATTAGCCCAAAAGACAAAAAAAAAAGGGTTGATCCGACGTTTTAATGCACTAAAAAATGTGTTGTGATAACTATTTTGATATTTACACATGTATATAGGTGGAAATAAGGTTTGTTCTTAGTTTCTTATATGCAAATATTAGTAATTTTCGCAGTCGAATTTTTTAATGTTGTGTTAAATATTTTTGAAATGATGAAAAGCTCCCCAAAATAATTAAATCTAAAGAGAGTATGTATTTATTATATATGTATGCCTTTTGTTTTATCGGATTTAGTTTGTGTTTAAAAAAATTGCTATTTATTTTATTTCATTGTATTTAGTCTCAGAAGGTTATGTTTAAAAATATTAAGGAATATTTTTGAAAATGTAAAAAGGTCTTGCAAATAATAGCATGGCAATACTGATTATATTCATGTTAATATATTTTGTGTCTCAGTTTTATTAATCTCACCTATGATCTCTTTACCTGAAACATTTTGTCTGCATTAAATAGTGAAACATCCTTGCGTTTTGAAGAGCGTTTAAAAAAAGATAAATAACGTTCAGAAATGTATAAATAAACGTCGACGACAATTGGGATCGCTGCACACACACAAACCCGAAAACAAAACATTTCAACAGGAACAACATGTTATTTTTGTACTTCTGCCCTTGGTCTGCCCCAGGCCCATTACCTCTAAAGCATTCCCTGCCATACCCCTGCCTGTCTGTTGTGGCTTTGGAGCATTCCCTGCCTCCCACAATACCAAGACCATATGCAATGCCTGGGACGGGGTCACGACACTTTTTGTGACAACAGAGGCAGCAGGAGCATCATAAGCAGCGACGGTAGTGGCAGCGTCAGTGGCAGCGAGTAGACTCACTCAAATAGTGGGAGAAGTAGCCACAAGTCCGGCCTCGATCCCCCACACCAGTTTGTGCCTTATTGTTTTGGGCTGCGGCTCGGCTGGAGCTTGGACATTTTTAAAGACCAGAGCCCAAGCCTGGACCTGGGATCTGAGACATAGAACTGAACCCGAACCCCGAACCCGAGCTGTGGCTATGGCTTTCTGGCGACTGCCTGGCGTCAAGAGAATGCGTTGGGCTTGTTTTGCCTTTAAGCTTTGATTTCGCATTGTGGCACATTTTTTCCTAGGAAAATTGTTACATGAAATTAATAAATAGGCAAATAAATGTTTAACAGCTGATGTTTTGTACGTGTTCAGGCTGAAGATGTTGCAGTTGCACGCAGCACGGTAGCCATTGTGCTGCACACAGTGTGATGGTGATGATGCTTTTTGGTTGTGCTTATTGTGGTAAGTGCCTCCTGCCTCTCATGTTTGCTGCTTGTGCTGATGATGAAGCAAAACATCATTTGCATAACACCACGGAGAACCCCCACAAGGATGCCCTCCTATCCACCCTATCAGTGTTTTGCCTCAACCATTTACTTCTTGCAACAAACAAAAAAAATAAAACAAACCACCTACTAAGCGGCCGGCCCTGCCCCTCGGCGTGTCTGCCACTGCATGCCAAATCATTTGTAAACAGTACACAGCAATTGCTAACGGAAATAATGCCTCAGCCCGGACACACTGGTTATAAAAACAAAGATCTTGCGAGCCAAATATATTTCTTTACGCCCTCACCAAGAGCCATAACCGAATATCATAATCAAAGACAACAAAACCAGGCGCAGACCGTGAAGATGCATTACACGGGAAAAAGCACAGCATGTGGGTTCTAGGTAGAAATTTTCGTAGAGAAAAATGTATAGTTATAACGATTAAGTAGCTGCTTTTCTTTGGAGAAGCTTAAAATATTTTAATAGCTTCTCATAAACTAAAAAACGAGGATGGACGTGTGAGACGCTTCTTACGGGTCACAACTCTTTTCCCGGTACTCAATAGGACATCTTTACCACATGTCTCCTCACGCTTCTCTCGGTGATATAATAGATATAGTCATTCCCTAAGGAATCGCGTTTTTAGATTCCTCTTATCTTCGAACTTGTGGATACAGAAGATTTACGCCCTTTGCGCTGTCGGAGGGGCGGGGCTAATTTTTGAAACACACATGTATTAGGGTGATATCACAGCAGTCTTGAGGCAAAGTTTGGTAATTCTAGCTCTTATAGTCTCTGAGAACTAGCCGACAAACAAGACGGACAGACAGACACACATAGACTCGGCTAGTGATGCTAAACAAGAATATATACACTTTATGTGATCGGAAACGTTTCCAAATACAAATACGGTGCTATTTACTTTTCGAGTACCGGGAATATTGCCATCGGTTGACTTTCAAATGCGACCAGTTTTGCTGGCGGCTTTTGATGGTACACTCGTCATAACAAGTTACAACAAACATAATAGTACAACTATAATTTATGCACAATTGGCGCTTAGTGTGTACAACCATAATTTACACATAAACAAGGCAGCTAGATCAAGTAAACTGGGGGCAGCAGAGGTAGCAACAAACCTTAAAAAAGAGCAACAGGAGCGGCAGGCCGAAGATGAGCACCTGGAACCCTGCACAGGGTGACTGATAAAATGATCAACGCTGTCTCGGGAAATAAGCTAAAAGCTTATTTAACATTAATTTCGCCACGAAAATCACAGTGCAATTTTAAACATCAGTTACAACCAAAAAAATTGGGAATGAGGAAGAGTATGATCCACATGCGAAAGTTTCTCTGCCTCGCTTCTCTTCCACACCTTTCTGGGTGAGTCCCGAGTGTAATCTAAGCTGCCATTAAAAAAAAATACAAGAAAAAACTTACGAAAACATGTGCTACATATTACCGCTGACGGGGGAGAAAGACAAACAGAGGCAGAGAGAGAGAGAGAAAGACAGGGAGGGGTGTGCTCCTCTAGCTGCAGCTGGGCTGAGGTGGGCTAGACTGGTGCACAAGGCTGAGGCGGGGTAGCTGGCAGTCGCAGTCGCCCAGTGACGGAAGTAAAGCAACAAAGCCTGCACCATGGAAGGAAATGGCGTTTGGGAGAAAATA